TCCGTAGATGACAGAGTCTGAATATTTTCCCCCCATTTTTAATAATGAGTGTCACTTGATAAATCCGTTGTGAGTGTATGTGTTCATTGATGCGTTGGAGTCTCCCGCCCTAATCAGGCTATTACCTCAATTAAAAATCTATTTCACGCATTCCTTTGGACGGCAGGTTCAGTGCGTCGGTGATGTGATCGTGATGCACCGGCTTATAGTGAAGGAATTTCGTGGTGAATTTCAAGGTTGTGGCTATGGCACTGTTGGCTTTTCAGCCACTGTGTTCTCCGGGAGCACTTCCGATCCGCTGATCCCTCGTACTTCGAAGGCTAGTTGTAGTGTAAGTTCTTTTAACTAGAAATTCTCAATTTTTACAGATCTACATGTTATATCAGATTCGGAAGGTTCTTGCGTATTAGCGCCTTTTCTTAGTTTCATACATTCGCAGAATTAAACATACTTCCTGTACCATAGGAACAATTTCCTGGTTTCAGTGATACATGCAAACAACCTTTGAGCACCCGCCTGTAATCTTCCCTTCCTGTCTTTTTTGATGACAGCTAGACCGCTTTGTACTGCTGCTCCAAATCCGCGGTCTCTGGTGTGATTGTCACGTATGGTAAACAGATGCTCATAACAATGCAACGAACCTAATACATTTTGGTTCGTCGACCAAAGTCGAATTCAGGAGAAACAGTAGCATTGTATTAGTTGCAAGATTGTATGGATATACTACATTGTAAATTAGTTTTAGGCTGTCTGTGCATTCATTTAGCTTGTTTTTTTGTAATTACGTGGTAGAAGTGTTTGGTCCATTACTGACAATGACCGTGTTCTTTCAATAATGCTGAATCAAATTCAAGTAAGATAAGACAGCTACAGCCTTAATTTCACTCCATGTCTTTGCATTTTGTAGTTTTCTAAATTCTCACGCTGGCTTTCTGTTCTTTACCCCAGAGAGGCCAGACCGAATTGCTTGGAAGCTTTTGCTGGACCAACCCACATCTTGCATGCGAAACTAATGAGTCGAACTCAAGAGAAGTGTAGCTTCATACATACCGAGGGGAAAAATCGCAGCATACTATTCCCCAATTCACACTGGATTTGATATATGCTTCAGTGGATCGCCGTCTCCGTTAAAAGACAGTTCGTGGAGGGGCCGTCCCTGAGATTAGCGCGCGTCGAAAAGAGCAAAATTAAATGGGCCATAGAATTACGGAAAGTGGTAATTCCGGCCGGCAAATTTCAGACAGAACCACTAGAATATCAAAACATAAATCGTTTAGCGGTCACACCCTTTCGGTGCTTAGCTGCAATGCCGCCCGGAGGAAGCAAGAGAGCTGGGATGCTATCAGACTGCCCAACCCTAGACAGGGGAAGTCGATGTGGATAGGTCGAGTTCGAACACCACAGTGGAGATCGGACAGAAAGTATAGATCACCGATCTTGAGTTCGGGAGTCACATAGATGTCCTCAGTGCATGTCACCGATGGAATCCTTCAGTGTGCTCCTCCCCCAGAGCCACAAATGTGTTTCAAAAGCCGAAGTAGTTTCTCCATCAGCACTTAACTATCGTAGGTCATTTATTATAAGCCAAGTGGCGTTGGGGAATATTTGAGAGTTCAGCTACCTCAGTCTAAGAATTCTTCCGAAACGTCAAGCTGAACACGAACTTACGTCTCATTCGGATAATGTCCACATTGAGTACCGACAACTGAAATGTACATTGTGGCGCAGCAAAGAAATGGACTGGAAGGTGGAAGTCGACATCGACCAGTCTGTCATCAGACCCGTTTGTGATGTGTGTCTCAGGTACTCCCAATCTCCATGTTTTGGGAATCTATTCAGTACATGAGCATTAATGGTGTTTTGGTATCGGCCGACTCGATCAACCACTCCAGTCACGTTTAATTTGATGGTTTGGAGGTGTTTTCGCCGCCTACATGCAGACCTAATCAGAACTGTTTTTGCTAGTAAGCCGGACTAGGATTGACGCTGTCATCGAGGTAATCAAATGCAAACTTGGATCAACACTTAAGCCCGCTTATGAACCGCGGAGTCTGCAGTCTGCCTATGGCGCATGCCAATTCATCTATTCTTTGGTTGATGTTTACATGTGCCTTGAGACATATAGCCATACCTAGGTGGCTACATCCAAGGTGCCGGCTAACCCCAGCGCAGACAATTGCTGATTAAGGCGAGTTACAATCAATAGGCTCCCCGAAATGAGTTACTGTTTACTGAAACTGCATCATCCAATTCAGCTATTGTGAATGTTAACTGTTCTTAGCTTATGTAGTCCAAGCATTCTGTGGTGTATTCACCATGTCTTGTTTCCGTGTCATATAAGTTACGGGTAGGGAAATTTCACCACCACATAGTTACACATAAATCCACGCTTGAATCGACTTGAAACCAAGAGACGTTTCTCTAGTTATGTTAACCTGATGGTTATTAAGTGTCGACCAGACTAATAATGAGTCTTCCAGTGATTTTCAGTATTGTATGCTATTTTCTTTTGATAGTTCGGTGATGAAGAGCTACGCCGTGTTCGAGAGTTACGCGAATGGTTTAATTCGCCAGGTTGTCCAGTCGAGCGGGAACCCATCATTGATCACAACGACCCATCACAGTCCCTACAATGCACCAAACCAGCTAGCCTTGTGAAAAGACTTTGGTGTCTTCAACCAGAAGAGTTCACTTCTACGGAGGGTCAGGTAGGTGATGTATTTAGAGCTCCACTGATCCGAAATACCAAGCCGTGGCCACTAGGCAATTCAACATCAGACGATATAACTACTCATTCTTTTTCAGTAGCGCAAATTTAAGCGTGGTCAATCGGGTAGGATGGT